TTCAGGAACGAAGCACGTGGAAACGACAATGTATACATTGTCACGGCTTTTTCCGCCATGACACGGTTAGCGCATGCTCTTTCACTTAACACAAGTATTTGTTTCATTTAACCAAAATTTTTTCTTTGACCATAAAGCTTTTGAATGAATCAAAATAATGTGGTTAAGTAAACCAAATTTATGCGTTACGTCAAACAAATTATTCTATAATAAATTATACTTTTAATCCAAGAAAATATTTTGGTTAAACGAAACAAACAACTTTAAACAAAAATTTTGTTACTGATAAATAAATACTTTTCATGGATTTATTAAAAATGAACTAAATGTTTGTTTACACTGACAAAATTTTTTATTTATATATCAAATAAAATAGGTTAATTTAAACTGTTTGGTTAATACAACAAAACTTTTTCTCTGAGTGTTTTTAAATAAGTGTTGGAATTTTCAGTTGAAATATAAAATGTTAACAATGGTTTAGAAAAATAAAGGCTTATTAACTTTAATATTTATTAATTAATTTTGATAATTTATAATTTATAATAATTTATAATTTTTATAAAATCCATAACTTTTTTTCGATTTAATATTTTTTAATCAAATATGTCTAAGCTTTGAAGTTGAATTAATACCTAAAAGACTGCTAAATTTCGCTTTAATCGGTTAATACAATTCTCAATAAATTTCACGTTGAGTAGTCTTCATTGGATCAAGTCTATCCGAGTCCGGATCAGTAAATTATAAAATTAAAGTTCCGGACTAGGATGGAAAAGGACCAGAGAAGTCTTCTTAACGTGGATATTACTCAGAATTATATGCTGGACATTTTTAAAAAGAATTATCAATTTTCAGAACAAAGAAAAAATTTAACAACAATTAATTACAGAGCAATAGAAATAAAAATGTTCAAATTATTCCATTATTCTCAAAATTGAATGTTTGTAAATTGCTGAACCGAGTCCGGAACATTAAATTATGTAATTAAAGTTCCGGACTAGGAGAGAAATGGCCCAGTGTAGACCACTAAACGTGGTTATGGGTCGGAATTATTTTCTGAACATTTTAGAAAAAGAATTTTATAATTCTAAAAAAAATAAAAAAAATTAACAAGTTATAATTATACAGAAACAGAAATGTACAAATTTTTCCAATATTCTTAAAATTAAATGTTTGTCAATTACTGGACAATAGTAAAAACTGATTTTTAACAGCGAAATCTTTTTGGAAAAGAACCAAGCCACTAAAAATCTTGTCACGTTTTGTAAATTTTTTCTATTGTTAATAACATCATAGGGACTGGTGCAAGTACAGATACATTTAATCAAGTATCATTTATAAGGGACATTTTTATACATAATTGATTACAAATTAGGAACAAAATTTTTTCTATTTATGAATAGTCCGGTTTTTAACTAGGGGAATGTTATCAGTTCATACAACAGAATAAATTGAAGGATTTGTCGGAGTGTGCAATTCTAGCACCTAGAAACGTTCACATTGATGATATTAATAAGAGAGTGGTGTGTCTCGTAGACAGTAAATGTGTAAAAATATATAAAAGTATTGATTCTACTGAAAATTGTGATAATGGAAAATTTACTGATGTATTCTTACCAGAATAATTATACACACTCTCTCCACCTTCTTTGCCTCCACATGAATTGTATTCAAGAATTAATTCTGTTTTAATGCTTATTAGAAATGTTAGTATTAATAACACTGGACCACAAAGGGAAATTAAGGTGGACATATTCTGAACATACATTATGTTTTTTGTGGTCGCTGATTACGATGCCGGTGTCCATATGACACTATCATGTCAGCATCAAAATCAACTTAAGGTCAAACACCTTGTTTTGCAATATTTAATTTTTTGACCCCGGATTCGGAAAGAGCGGAATATTTTACGTCCGAATACGTTTTAACCATTTTTCTAAACCAACCTTTGAAGGTCATCTAGAAGGTCAAATCTTGATTTCATTCTCTTGTCCGGAAAGTCACCTAGAATGGATTTTAAAAAAAATTGCTTTTTATGTTTCTGGGGTCGCAAATTACAATCCAGGTGATCATATGACTTTACTTCGTCAGCAGCAAGGTCAAAAACCTTAATTCGAAATATTTCTTTTTTCCAACATCAAGATGACTTTCAATTGACCTTTAAAAGTTGGTTTATAAAAATAGTCAAAACGTATTTGGACGTAAAATTTTCGACTTTTTCCGAATACGGGGTCAAAAAAATTAAATATTGCAAAATAAGGTGTATGACCTTGAGTTGACCTTGGTGCTGACGTGATAGGGTCATACGGACACCGACATCGTAATCATCAACCCCAAAAACATAAAGGCCACCTATGCTTAGAACATATCCACCTCAATTTTTCTTTGTGGTCCTGTGTAAGGGATTATGTAATGAAACAGGGATGTTTGTTTTAGATTTATCACATAAAGTTATTAATTAAGTTTAGCTTGTTGTATTTATGTCTTTCGGAATATGCAATGTGAAATATTTACAGTACCGGCCAAAATTATGAGTTTACCCATTTTCAAAGGAAAGAAAGAAATTTTTTAACATAAAATTTATGAAAACTATTTTTTTCGGTATATGTTTTGAAAGATGATAAAATTTTGAAATGAATAAGACCTTACGGAAGTCATTTGGTCAGTATTTTTTCAATATATTCTTCAAAAAAAATTCTCATTTTCAATGTTTTACAAAAATTTGAATAATTTCTAAAATAATGAACTCTTTTTAATAATCTTTAGCTTATTTTAAAGGTAATTTTTTACAGAATAAAAATTATTTATATGCATTAACCTGTAATTTTTTTCTTAGAATAAGCAGGACGTAAAAGTTAGACAAAAATATTCGAAAAATTTGGAACATTTTTTTTACTAAAAACTATTCTAGAAAATATATAAAACATGATATGGTGTAGATTTATCATGAAAATTTAATGAAAATAAATATGTTTGAATTTAAAAAATTATTTTTTCTTTTAATAAGATTATTTCAAATTATTTCAACAACCAAATGGATTATATCAACTGATTAAAACTATCACTGAATGTAACTAAATACCATTGTTATTATAGTTCTCTTTTTTACTAAAATTCTTTTTTCTGTTTTCTATTTGAACCGCCGACTACCAAAAGGGTATGCGCACGGTTTTCGTTGATCCCTCGCGCAGCCGTAGAATCGCTGTACACGGGGCCGACAAAAGTCATGCGTATGCCCTTTTGGTCGCCGGCGGTTCATTTTCTTAATTTAATAAAAATCCTCTAAAATTTTAAGATTTTATATATCTTATATAAGCTTGTTTCAAGATTGCTGAAAAATTGATGTAATTCAGGTATACAAAATTTAATCTTCTTAAGATAAAATGTTTTTAATAAATGTGTTCATGTTTATAATAATGTTAGAAGCTTTTCAATGTTAAAATATTTCCATTTTGAATAGCAGAAAGAAAGACAGTCAAAAAATGGATGTACTCAAAGTAAATTTGAAAATTATATCCAATATACAATTTGAGCTAGGTATTTTTCCACATTCTGGAAAGTAGTGAATAAATATAGGATGAACAAGTGGTAAGATTGAACAAGTAGTATTATTTTTTTAAGCAATTCGTCAAATTTGGCAGTTTTCTCTCTTACTTTTGAAAATATCTAAGCTATGACTGACATCAACCCCTTTCTGGAATCACAATTAACAGAAGCAAAAATTATAAAACTCCTGGTTTAGACAATATCTCCTTTTGAGTCTTTTTAAATCTTCTTTGCGAACTGTATTGAATATTTAACAAATTTGTTTAATAGAATCATGGAAAGGGAAGAAGAACCTTACACCTGGTCAAAAATATTATTAAAAATGATTTTTAAAAAAGGAGAAAAGGAAGATCCAACCAACTATCATCCAATTGCATTGGTTTTAGGTAGTCCAAATGACAGTGAAAATCCGAAAAAAAAGTTGAATCCGATTGAGGATTTATTAAGGAACTCAAACATTCTTTTAAGCAATGAATTTAAAACAGGAAACATTAAATGCAACAATGCAATTATCTCCATCGACAGTCAAAAAATCGATTCACTCAAACTAAATTAAAAAATTATATCCATTATCCAATTCGGTCTATCATCTGTTAAAAGTCAAACGACTCTAAAAAAGTCAGTGAAAAAGAATTGGAAAATCTAAATGTTCACTTTCTACATTATCTTGGAAAATTTGTAATAACCGTAAATAGGTATAAGTTTCATGTAAAATATGTATAGAGGATCCTCGAACCTTGCAGTGTGCAGGGAGAGTAAATAAAGATATTAATTTGTAACAACCGAACTTGGTACCGAATGTTAAGCGATTCCTTACAAATTTGTGATTTATAAAAAAATGATTTTTCTTTCATGAGCGAAAATATCCAACAACAAAATCTCAGTAACAAATAGATGCCAGTTCGTTAAAAAATTCAATAAATTGTGACGAATAGGAAATAATCCAGGAAGACGATATCATAGTTATAGATTTCAAATTAGGATAAATTGATGCTGACATACAAAAGTTAGAAGAAAGGAAGCACAAGAATCGGACCAAGAAGCAAGTTGAAATCAAGCAATGAAAAATAAAATGAATGCACTCCAGGACAACAACACGTGGTCTTTAATTTATCACATTGAGGACATAGAAGGAGTTTACACCGAGAGGCATTTATTTATACCTGTGCGCGCATAAACGGATATTCCTCCAGGAGAATAGATTCGCGTCTGTGCACAATGTTTGCCTGCAGCTGTGTAGTGAAAGACTTTGCCTTGACTACGTGTTTGCGCAGGCGCGAGTATATTCTCGTGGAGGAATATCCGCTTTTACTCGCATGAGTATAAATATATGCCTGTCGATGTAAACTCCCTCATAGTTTCACTAACCAAACGAAGTAGGTATTCAAAGTCAAGAGAGATAACGATGATAAGATAACTTTTGAAAAGTTAAATTTGCACTAATTTAGATTTAGAGAGTAATAGGTAGATATGACAAATGTAACTGAAGAATATATTTTATTGTTGTTCACAATCATAAAATGATTAGGGTCGAGAATTCGGAAAGCCGCCTAATATCAAACCGATGGGCCAGTGACGAGAAGCGAGTTGTCGACACGACCACCGAAGCACGAATGGCAGCACCTTACGGTGCATACAACGGCGACAGAGACATTGACACAGGCCGGCGTGAAAATTGTCAGTACGAACTTGGTCATAATACAGACACGGTCGTTTACCAAAAACTAATTGTGCCGCAAATCGTGTCGGATATAACCATCGTGCTGATGGAGTAAGAGAAGTTACTGCGAAATCATTTTCCACGAATAAATGTTAATAAAAATTTACAATCTGCAATATGAATTTTACCTATTTCAACCTATCTCGGCATGTATAGAGGCGACACGTGCAGTTTGCGTTTATCCACCGATGCAACGCGGTAGAGTTTATAATGACTGGTGACTAGATTTAAGAAGAAGAGCGGAATTATATACACCACCACAATAAAAGATGCTGAAGACTTGACAACCGATCTGAGAGCACGAGGATTAAAAGTAGGTTGCTATTACGCAACGTAAGATAGCGAAATAAGGATAAAATTTTATTTTTCATTCCTTTGTCTAGCTACATAACTTGAATAAGTAAAATGTAAAAGGATAAATTCGGCCGACAGCCAAAGTTGTTCATGACAGTGAAATGAAAGTTAGTTTTCCTAACCCCTGAATATATGACAAAGTCAAAAAGATTTAAGAGCAAACTACAAAAAGCTTACGAAATTGGTCAACTAGACAGATTTTTTATCGATGAAGTGCACTGCTGCAGTCGATGGTGTCACGATGTTAGTAACGATTATAATTACCTAGGAATACTGAAAAACAAAAACAGTCTTCCTTTCCTAGGACTCACAGCAACAGTCCCTGCAAAAATAATCGTCGATGTCCAAAAAATGCTCGACATTCGAGGCTGTCTGATTCTTCATTTTTCCTTTAATTGTCCAAACCTTTACTGCCCTTACTATGAAGTCCGAAGAAAACCGAACGAGAAAGAAGTCTGTCTCTCAATGATGGAAAATCTAATGAAAAGAAGGTAATTTTCTCTATTACTGTCTACTTTTATAGAATTGTCTGAAAATATTCTTTAAGTATTAGCTTCTATCAGTAGCTACTCTTTTTATATTACCAATCGCTCTTTATTTTTTCTCTAGATTTAAGAAGAAGAGCAGAATTATATACACCACCACAATAAAAGATGCTGAAGACTTGACAACCGATCTGAGAGCACGAGGATTAAAAGTAGGTTGCTATTACGCAACGTAAGATAGCGAAACAAGGATAAAATTTTATTTTTCATTCCTTTGTCTAGCTACATAACATGAATAAGTAAAATGTAAAGGATAAATTCGGCCGACAGCCAAAGTTGTTCATGACAGTGAAATGAAAGTTAGTTTTCCTAACCCCTGAATATATGACAAAGTCAAAAAGATTTAAGAGCAAACTACAAAAAGCTTACGAAATTGGTCAACTAGACAGATTTTTTATCGATGAAGTGCACTGCTGCAGTCGATGGTGTCACGATGTTAGTAACGATTATAATTACCTAGGGATACTGAAAAACAAAAACAGTCTTCCTTTCCTAGGACTCACAGCAACAGTCCCTGCAAAAATAATCGTCGATGTCCAAAAAATGCTCGACATTCGAGGCTGTCTGATTCTTCATTTTTCCTTTAATTGTCCAAACCTTTACTGCCCTTACTATGAAGTCCGAAGAAAACCGAACGAGAAAGAAGTCTGTCTCTCAATGATGGAAAATCTAATGAAAAGAAGGTAATTTTCTCTATTACTGTCTACTTTTATAGAATTGTCTGAAAATATTCTTTAAGTATTAGCTTCTATCAGTAGCTACTCTTTTTATATTACCAATCGCTCTTTATTTTTTCTCTAGATTTAAGAAGAAGAGCAGAATTATATACACCACCACAATAAAAGATGCTGAAGACTTGACAACCGATCTGAGAGCACGAGGATTAAAAGTAGGTTGCTATTACGCAACGTAAGATAGCGAAACAAGGATAAAATTTTATTTTTCATTCCTTTGTCTAGCTACATAACATGAATAAGTAAAATGTAAAGGATAAATTCGGCCGACAGCCAAAGTTGTTCATGACAGTGAAATGAAAGTTAGTTTTCCTAACCCCTGAATATATGACAAAGTCAAAAAGATTTAAGAGCAAACTACAAAAAGCTTACGAAATTGGTCAACTAGACAGATTTTTTATCGATGAAGTGCACTGCTGCAGTCGATGGTGTCACGATGTTAGTAACGATTATAATTACCTAGGGATACTGAAAAACAAAAACAGTCTTCCTTTCCTAGGACTCACAGCAACAGTCCCTGCAAAAATAATCGTCGATGTCCAAAAAATGCTCGACATTCGAGGCTGTCTGATTCTTCATTTTTCTTTTAATCGTCCAAACCTTTACTGCCCTTACTATGAAGTCCGAAGAAAAGCAAACGAGAAAGAAGTCTGTCTCTCAATGATGGAAAACCTAATGAAAATAAGGTAATTTTCTTTATTACTGTCTACTTTTATAGAATTGTCTGAAAATATTCTTTAACTGTATTAGCTTCTATTAGTAGCTACTCTTTTTATTACCAATCGCTCTTTATTTTTTCTCTAGATTTAAGAAGAAGAGCAGAATTATATACACCACCACAATAAAAGATGCTGAAGACTTGACAACCGATCTGAGAGCACGAGGATTAAAAGTAGGTTGCTATTACGCAACGAAAGATAGCGAAATAAGGATAAAATTTTATTTTTCATTCCTTTGTCTAGCTACATAACATGAATAAGTAAAATGTAAAAGGATAAATTCGGCCGACAGCCAAAGTTGTTCATGACAGTGAAATGAAAGTTAGTTTTCCTAACCCCTGAATATATGACAAAGTCAAAAAGATTTAAGAGCAAACTACAAAAAGCATACGAAATTGGTCAACTAGACAGATTTTTTATCGATGAAGTGCACTGCTGCAGTCGATGGTGTCACGATGTTAGTAACGATTATAATTACCTAGGAATACTGAAAAACAAAAACAGTCTTCCTTTCCTAGGACTCACAGCAACAGTCCCTGCAAAAATAATCGTCGATGTCCAAAAAATGCTCGACATTCGAGGCTGTCTGATTCTTCATTTTTCTTTTAATCGTCCAAACCTTTACTGCTCTTACTGTGAAGTCCGAAGAAAACCAAACGAGAAAGAAGTCTGTCTCTCAATGATGGAAAACCTAATGAAAATAAGGTAATTTTCTTTATTACTGTCTACTTTTATAGAATTGTCTGAAAATATTCTTTAACTGTATTAGCTTCTATTAGTAGCTACTCTTTTTATTACCAATCGCTCTTTATTTTTTCTCTAGATTTAAGAAGAAGAGCAGAATTATATACACCACCACAATAAAAGATGCTGAAGACTTGACAACCGATCTGAGAGCACGAGGATTAAAAGTAGGTTGCTATTACGCAACGTAAGATAGCGAAATAAGGATAAAATTTTATTTTTCATTCCTTTGTCTAGCTACATAACATGAATAAGTAAAATGTAAAAGGATAAATTTGGCCGTCAGCCAAAGTTGTTCATGACAGTGAAATGAAAGTTAGTTTTCCTAACCCCTGAATATATGACAAAGTCAAAAAGATTTAAGAGCAAACTACAAAAAGCATACGAAATTGGTCAACTAGACAGATTTTTTATCGATGAAGTGCACTGCTGCAGTCGGTGGTGTCACGATGTTAGTAACGATTATAATTACCTAGGAATACTGAAAAACAAAAACAGTCTTCCTTTCCTAGGACTCACAGCAACAGTCCCTGCAAAAATAATCGTCGATGTCCAAAAAATGCTCGACATTCGAGGCTGTCTGATTCTTCATTTTTCTTTTAATCGTCCAAACCTTTACTGCCCTTACTATGAAGTCCGAAGAAAACCAAACGAGAAAGAAGTCTGTCTCTCAATGATGGAAAACCTAATGAAAATAAGGTAATTTTCTTTATTACTGTCTACTTTTATAGAATTGTCTGAAAATATTCTTTAACTGTATTAGCTTCTATTAGTAACTACTCTTTTTATTACCAATCGCTCTTTATTTTTTCTCTAGATTTAAGAAGAAGAGCAGAATTATATACACCACCACAATAAAAGATGCTGAAGACTTGACAACCGATCTGAGAGCACGAGGATTAAAAGTAGGTTGCTATTACGCAACGTAAGATAGTAAAATTTATTGTTTATTGTTGTTCACAATCATAAAATGATTAGGGTCGAGAATTCGGAAAGCCGCCTAATATCAAACCGATGGGCCAGTGACGAGAAGCGAGTTGTCGACACGACCACCGAAGCATGGATGGCAGCACTTTACGGTGCATACAACGACGGTAGAGACATCGATACCGGCCGGCGTGAAAATCGTTAGTACGAGCTTGGTCATAATAAAGTTAATTTATTATTAACCGAAGGTTGTGATCACATTTATCCTGGAATCAAAGATGAAATCGACGATGTTCCCAACACGGATTCGGATTTCATTACAGAAAAGGGCATAAATCCTCCACTTAATATCACAAGACTCGGAAAAGAACAACAACTGCATATGTTCGTCGAAGTATTAGTAGCCAATGTTTCGAATCATCAAATTGCTCACGAAATTAAAGACGATCCAGAAGACGATGTTGTAGACGAGGGTGATCAGTATGAGAATGTATTAGCAATATTTCCGGAATCAGATCCTGAATATTTGAGGACAATATTGTTAAATTGTATCAAAAGAGTCAAGTTCAGTTTCAAAAATACATACAAAAAAACTACTGATTTCAGTGTAAAGAAATGTTTACAAGTCATTTCTAATCCGATCGAACATTTCGAGAATCCAGAAAGGAAATGCATTTTTGTAAATACAGCGAATGAATTTCTGAAAGGTCAATTCCGTTCGCATAAGGTTGTAACGATTTCTAAATTCTATAAAAAGCACAAGTACAATATTATTTTAACTAAGAAGTGAGTTTATTTCAGTCTAGTAATTATTAAAAACATTATAGCATAAAAAATGTTTTATCCTGATTTTGATAAAGTTATAATCATAATTTTATCTAATTTAACAGTTTCAAATGTTAAAATAACCTAAATTTATTTAATTATAATGTTAAATAATTGGTATAACTTCCAATGCTAAAGAAGGTGAAAATTGAACTGTCAAAATTGCTATTTATCCAAATATTATTATTTTCTAGTTGTCATTTATTCAAATGCTGAATTTTTCAAAATGTAAATTAATAAAATATTTTTGTCATGAAAACGTTATTTTCTCAAACCTTTTTTATCTCAACTGACCATAAAATATATTTTCGAATGTTTATAAATGTCATTTGACAGAATGTTTACTTTGACAAATGTTAATTGTAAATAATGTTTTTATACTCTAATAACCACTTTTTCTAAAGTTAAAAAATCCAAAAGGGATTTTGATCTAAAAATTGACTATCGCTTATTATTACAATAATTAACTAGAATGAACGACAGTCAATTTTTTAAATAAAAATACAATTTAGATTTTTTATAACCTTACAAAAAGTGGTTAATAGAGTATAAAAACAGTATTTACAATTAACATTTGTCAAAGTAAACATTCTGTCAAATGACATTTGTAAACAAATTGTTTGCCATGACATGTAAAATAATTCAATAACCCGTCGCTTAAAAAAATACATGTTTGTCAACAAAAACTGAATGACTGTCAAAGTGAAATTTTATTACATAGTTGACCCTCTGATTTTAAATATAACATAAAATTCTTAATCGGATGGTCAATTATATAATTTAATTTAATTTTCAGTCATTATATTGGCAGTCACTGTTATTGTATCGCCTTAATAAGAACGAGAATCTCACGAAAAAGTCAATAAAAACAATTGAATGTCAAATAACATTCAATTGTTTTTTTCGTGAGATTCTCATTCTTATTAACTGCGAATTTAAAAAAAAATTTGTATAAAACTTTAATTATTTATAACTTTTTAATTAAATTTTTTTAAATTCTTTTTGGGATATCATTACTTACAATAATAGATACAAGAAAATATAATTGGTTTTAATTTTCATGAATGTTGGAATGTTGGTGGTCATGAAAACGTTATTTTATTTTAGGTGGATCTTTATGGGTTAAAATGCAATGGGATATTTAATAGTAATGTTTTAGAAACCAACTTTTTAACGGATTCTTCAGCATTTTTAAAATTTTTTAATGGGTTTGGATTGATGCAAAGAATTCAGCACCTAGGGACCGTTTATTTATGTTAATATAAATGATTTAAACCTATAATACCTTACTATTATTTACTTTCTTAGAAAAAAAGATAATTGATATTTTCAAAATATCAAAGGACCTTCTGCTACTGCAACTTAACAAACTCAGAAGGCTCGACGCCACGACAAGGTCTACCGAACATATCCATGATGTCAATCATGTCTGGCAGTGGATAAGCATCCACTTCTCCCAGCATATCGAAGACATCGATGATGTTCGGCAGTGGACAACCAGTGGCGGAGATTATTTACTTTCTTAGAAAAAAAGATAATTGATATTTTCAAAATATCGAAAAATGAGTTTTTTTTTAATACGGCCCTGGCGATTTTTTTCTTTTTTGGCTAAAAATTATCATGAGACATCCTGGAAAAGAAATCAGATAGAAATTTGGATACGCAAGCATTTTTGGATTAAAGTTAATTTAAGCCCACCGTGATAATTTAATTTAACTTTCAGTCATTATATTGTCAGTCACTATTATTGTATCGCCTTAATAAGAACGAGAATCTCACGAAAAAGTCAATAAAAACAATTGAATGTCAAATAACATTCAATTGTTTTTTTCGTGAGATTCTCATTCTTATTAACTGCGAATTTAAAAAAAAATTTGTATAAAACTTTAATTATTTATAACTTTTTAATTAAATTTTTTAAAATTCTTTTTGGGATATCATTACTTACAATAATAGATACAAGAAAATATAATTGGTTTTAATTTTCATGAATGTTGGAATGTTGGTGGTCATGAAAACGTTATTTAATTTTATGTGGATCCTTATGGGTTAAAATGCAATGGGATATTTAATAGTAATGTTTTAGAAACCAACTTTTTAACGGATTCTTCAGCATTTTTAAAATTTTTTAATGGGTTTGGATTGATGCAAAGAATTCAGTACCTATGGACCGTTTATTTATGTTAATATAAATGATTTAAACCTATAATACCTTACTATTATTTACTTTCTTAGAAGAAAAGATAATTGATATTTTCAAAATATCAAAGGACCTTCTGCAACTGCAACTTAACAAACTCAGAAGGCTCGACGCCACGACAAGGTCTACCGAACATATCCATGATGTCAATCATGTCTGGCAGTGGATAAGAATCCACTTCTCCCAGCATATCGAAGACATCGATGATGTTCGGCAGTGGACAACCAGTGGCGGAGATTATTTACTTTCTTAGAAAAAAAGATAATTGATATTTTCAAAATATCGAAAAATGAGTTTTTTTAATACGGCCCTGGCGATTTTTTTCTTTTTTGGCTCAAAATTATCATGAGACATCCTAGAAAAGAAATCAGAAAGAAATTTGGATACGCAAGCATTTTTGGATTAAAGTTAATTTAATCCCACCGTGATAATTTAATTTAACTTTCAGTCATTATATTGACAGTCACTATTATTGTATCGCCTTAATAAGAACGAGAATCTCACGAAAAAGTCAATAAAAACAAAATGAAAACAATTGAATGTCAAATAACATTCAATTGTTTTTATTCGGATTCGAGAGCAAATTCTACATAAGAAATGACAGTGAAATACCGCGGATTAAAAAATTTTTTAATTTTGTAAACTAGTGTAATTTACATATTATACAGAAATTGTTTTTCGGAAAAATTATATTTTGCTAATTGAATAACTACTTTTTAACAAACAACTGAAACAATTGAATTTTATAGTATCGTGGTACTTTTTGTATAAGAGAAGACGAAATAACAATTGACAATAAGGCTCAATGATGTGTCCCTTGTTTCACCAACATTCATGAAAATTAAAACCAATTATATTTTCTTGTATCTATTATTGTAAGTGATGATATCCCAAAAAGAATTTTAAAAAATTTAATAAAAAGTTATAAATAATTAAAGTTTTATACAAAATTTTTTTTTAAATTCCTAAAAACCTGAAACCCCCCGAGAAACGAGTTTCAAGCAAATCCAATGAATTTTTTAAAAACGTGTCCGCCATATTGGATCCGCCATTTCGAATTTTTAAAATATAACTTCACCCCAGTAGCACGTAATATTACAGCAATAGTGAGAACACTGCCTAAACATAACCAATGTTGCCGCAATGTTACAGGTATGTTCCCAATATTACGTGCTACTGGGGCAGATTCGTAATCAGAGACCCCAAAAACTCCCTAGTAATGAGTTTCAATCGAATCTGATAAATTTTTCAAAAACGTGCCCGTCATATTGGTTTTCTGGGGTTATGTCAGATCTCCAGATCAAAACTTTTTTATTTTTTTGTGTGGCTGTGCTATTAATTTAAAGCCGCAGTTCCATGGTAGCGTTTTGCGTTGCGTTGTAATGAGAGAGAATGCAGCAAACGTATACTTGCGTCTTTTTCTCTCCCATTACGACGCAACGCAATACGCTGTCATGGGACTCCACCCTAAGAAGGATAGTTTTTAATTTTTAGGTTATGTTCATTGATCTGTCCTTCTCTTGCTCACTCATTATCTTATAATTTACTATATTCTACGCGATTAAAAATTTTATTAAATAATAATTAAGTTATATACCTTCCCAGTAAAAAAAATTCGATACACGGACCGCGGAGTTCGTATACGAGCTCGGTAGCTCGTATGAGAAATATGAGAAAACTCTCATACGAGCCTTTTCCGTAATGAGAAGTGTATAGATGCTTGTATACGAAGTGACATTTAAAACATTTTTCTTAATATAACACTATTTTAAAGTAAATGTAGATAATAGAAATGAATTTTCAAAGTAAAACAAAGCTAAATTCATAAGGGAAATGAAGTTTTAAGAAAAAAAGGATAATTTTGTTCAAAGAATTTATTCACACTAAAAAAGGTTAGAATTTGATAATTCCTTGTTACTCTAACTTACCGACATTAGATATTTCTCGGATGCGGTAAGCACGATTTTGTATTGGCGGTAGAATAAATAAGTTTTTTTCATTACTAATTAATAATATATTATTATTTATTTATTATATAAATGTTGTTATGTAAAATAATTAAATTTAATACAAAATCTGCTTACCGTATACGAGAAATATCTAATGTCGGTTAGTTAGAGTAACAAGGAATTATCAAATTCTAACTTTTTGTCAATGTGGATAAATTTTTTGATTAAAATTATCCTTTTTTTCTTAAAACTTCATTTCCCTTATAAATTTAGCTTTGTTTTACTTTGAAAATTCATTTCTATTATCTACATTTACTTTAAAATAGTGTTATATTAAGAAAAATGCTTTAAAAGTCACCTCGTATACAAGCATCTATACTGAGTATAGATTATTAATTAGTACTGAGAGCTCAGTCTATTTCAGTCAAAATTTGCTGCGTTTTAGCACTGAAATTGTACTGGGAAAAATTACCTGCAAAAGGGTCGCTATAGGTGGTGTTTATGGCCTAACCGTCATTAAGTTGAAGGACGAATATTTCTTTGTCAATGTTAAAAATAATTTTTATTTATACTCCAACATTATATTTGTTTTTCATGAACTCAGATTCTTCGCAAGTAATTATAATATATGCTAAATGTTCATGTGAATCTAAATTCAAAAATAATATCTGTTTTTACGTAACAATTAGAGTTCGCGAGATAGTTCATAACTTTTTTAAATAATAATTTTTTATAATGAATTTTAGATATTTGTAATCATAAAGCACCACAGATTTAAATTTTTTGGTTTTAAAAATTGTGTTATTTAA